ATCAGCAGTGGGAAGTTTAATATTCGCTATGATATGCACAAGACCAGACATTGCATAAGCAATGGGAGTGGTTAGTCGGTACATGCGAATCCAGGCAAAGAGCATTGGAATACAGTAAAGAGGATCCTGAGATACATCAAAGGGACCTCAAATGTTGCAGTATGTTATGGAGGATCATACTTACTTATAAATGGGTATGTCAATTCTGACTATGCATGAGATTTGGATAAAATCAAATCTACAATAGGAAATGTGTTCAAAGTTGCTGATGGAGCTGTAAGATAGATTTCTAAGTTGCAGTCAGTTGTGGCTACATCCACAACAGAAGCAGAATATGTAGCAGCTACATAAGCCAGTAAAGAAGCAATTTGGTTAAAGATGCTATTGGAGGAGCTTGGGACAATCAAAAGTATATCTCTCTGTTTTGTAACAGTCAAAGTGCCTTGTATCTAGCAAGGAATCCAACATTTCATTCAAGGACAAAGCACATACGAGTTCAGTACCATTTCATTCGTGAAAAGGTGAAAGAAAGAACGGTAGATATGTAGAAGATCCATACCAAAGACAACATAGCAGATTTCATGACGAAGGTGATCAATGCCGATAAATTTACTTGGCGTCGATCCTCTTGTGGCCTGTCAGAAACGTAAGCAACATGAAGGTACAAGGTAGAAAGAATGCTGTGAAGATATGATCGTTCCAATCAAATCTTCAAGTGGGAGATTATTGGAAAGTCGGCCAACAGCCAACAAGTGGCCAAGTTGGCCACATTATTTTTAAGAATTAATGCACCGAAAGGTGCATGGAATTTTTTTGTTTAAATATTAAATGTGATAATTTGATTTAGTCATTGTACTTTAGGGTATTTATAAGATTAGTCCTTAATCTTCAACTATAAATACCCTAGCTCATTTAGGTTCAAAATCATCCCAAAGCATTCTAGCTTTCTCCCAATACTAGAGAATTTAGAGAGTTTCTTGAGAGTTGTTTTCTCATTTTTATCAAGAGAGAATTATCATTGTTTTCTCATTCGTAGATCGAGAGAGGTTGTAATTCCTATTTTTCTCAGAGTGAAATTCTTATACCGTTGTCTGTGGTTTTTACCCTATATTATTTAGGTGTTTTCCACGTAAATTTTGTGTCTTCTTTATCATTATTTTTATTTTCTCAAATTATTAGTTGCGATTTTGCTCTATTTGATAGCCGTATTGCGCAACAAAATATTCATTCATCGTATAATGTAAACACACAACGCATCTAAACTATGATAATTGAGTATAAACATAAAACATAGGTGAATATACATGGTGAGAATATCTATATTTAGGATTGAGTATTGTTCTTTATTAGATTTACTTCATTTCTTTTAAAAACATAAAGCTTCATCAAGACAACAGAGATAATACATGATAAATACAAGCACACTAGAGGTAACTTCAAGCACTATCTGGATATAGGTTTTCATGCACAACATGTTTACTTAATTTACAAATGATTCCAGGTTCATAAACTTCCTTTTATTTGGTCAAATTGAGATGGGATCAATCAACAAGGCATTGATGCTAGCTTTTACTGAATCATAAACAAGCTTGTAACCATCATCGTCCTTGTGAAACAGATCAAGAACCCTTGTCAGGTTGAGAATTCGATTAAGAGTCGACGTTGGTACCGTCATTGGTTTCAATAACCCTTTGTTCATATCCTTCCAAGCACTCTTTATTTGCCTATTTAACTAATCGTTCGCAGCTTGCACCGGTGCCCTGTGTTGTTTCATGTAGCACTTGACAGCGAAAGGAGGATGTTCTCTCACTCGTTCGAACTAAAAAAACTATTATACTAAAAAACCTGAACCAAATTGAACATAAATCAACTTGAACATCACAGTTTGTACCTGGTGGGTAACCACATCATCCATCAGCCTGCAAATAATTGTTGAAGCTCTAAAAATCTTGGGGTAATTAAATACCGAAATGAAATTCTCTTTTGTAATGCTATATTCCATGCCAACGAATGATACAATTGTGAATAGCTGATAAGTAGAAGTAACTAATGCCACAGACATATACTCCTCAAATGTTGGGATGTAACTTTCATGGAGCTATTTTAACTCAATATAGTAGGCTTCACATTGTATTTTCATCTATCAACAAACAATCAAACCAAAATTTAACAAAAACCAACTATTATTATTCATTAAGATTGCAGGCCTATGTTGAAAGCTTTAAATGACAGATGTTATTCTAACATTTCTGAGAAATTGCTGAAAAGAGAGAACAACTAGAAAGGCAGCAAGTTGTGACTCTAACTGGAGGTGGTTTAGGGGATGTGGCTACTGAAAAGAAGTTACAGCTAGAGCTCATTGAGTTAGAAAAGACAGAAAGGATGTTTTATCAACAGAAAGAAAAAGTGGATTGGTTGCAAGATGGTGATCAATGTACTAAATTTTTTCATTCTCAAGTTACAGTTAAAAGGAAGAGAAATATCATTAGAGTATCGATTGATGAGAGGGGAAATAAATTGGAAACTTTTGATTCTATGTCTGAGGAGTTGGTGAGCTTTTTCATAATGCAGATTGGAACTATTGATGAGAATGTGTAGGGGTGTACTAAGGAGTTCTTGAGGGATTTGTTGGGATATTTCTTTCCTGAAGGTGATAATGCTTATTTGGTTAGAGCTATTACCAATGATGAAATCAAAGCTTCTATTTGGAATCAAGGCAGGGATAAATCCCCTGGCCCTGATGGTTATACATCTGGTTTCTTTCAGTCTGCATGGGATATTGTTGGAGGAGATTTTCTAGCTACTGTTAAATACTTCTTTGATTCCTCTAAAATGTTGTATGTTTTAATTCTACTACAGTTGCTTTAGTTCCTAAACAACCTAATTCTTACAAGGTTATGGATTTCAGGCCTATATCTTGTTGCTCTATATTTTACAAAACAATTACTAAGATTTTGGTGGGAAGACTGGTAAAGTACTTCCCTGAGATGATATCCCTAAATCAATCAGCTTTTGTGAAGGGAAGAAACATTGAAAGTAATACTCTCTTGGCACAAGAACTTATTAGAGGGTATGGTAGGGGTTCTATATCTCCTAGATGTGCTATTAATGTTGATCTACAGAAAGCCTTTGATTCTTTAAACTGGAACTTTCTGCTTACTGTTTTGTAGGGACTAGGATGCATGAGCAGTTTAGGAATTGGATAGAGCCTTGTGTTATGAATTCTTGATTTTCCATTGTGTTAAATGGTAGCCTAGTTGGATTTTTTGGAGGTAGAAGATGAGTCAGGCAGGGGGATCCTCTCTCCCCTTACTTGTTTGTAGTTGTTATGAATGTCCTCTCTAAAATGTTGGATATTGCTGCTTCTGGAAAGATTTTTCAATTTCACCCTAAGTGCAAAAAAATGAAGTTAACCCACTTGTGCTTTGCAGATGATCAGCTGATTTTTTTTTCAAGGGTTCTCTGGATTCTATTATAAGTGTGAAATGTGTCTTGGAAAGGTTTTATGAGATGTCTAGATTAAGGCTTAATGTTTCAAAGACTGAAATTTTTATTGCTGGCATGGTAGATAGTCAAAGGTCTTTGGAGCGTGAGGCTACTAGTTTCAAAAAGGTAGTCTTCCTGTGAGATATTTAGGGGTGCCTCTTATCCCTAGGAAATTAGCAGAAAAGGATTGTGCAAGGCTGATGGAGAAAATTAAGACTAAGTTGGGGCTTTGGTCGAATAGGTGGTTAAGTTATACAGACATGTTGCAATTAGTTAAAGTTGTTTTATTTAGAATTGCAAACTTTTGATGCGGACAGCTAATCTTGCCTACTGTTGTGATTAAAAGGGTGGAATAACTTTGTGCTAGATTTTTCTGAAAGGGTGGAGATGTTCCAGCTAAGGGAGCTCGAGTGAGTTGGAAGAGTATTTGTACTCCTAAATCTGAAGGGGGCTGGGTCTAAAATACTTAAAATGCTAGAACAAAGCTTGTGTGTTGTTGCTGATGAATGTATTACTTGTTGCAGAGGGTTCACTTTGGGTTGCTTGGGTAAGAATATATGTTTTTAAAGGTATTGATTTATGGTCTATTGAATGCAAATCCTCTTTTAGATGGAGTTTGCAAAAAATTATGAAGATGAGGGAGGAAGTTTAGCCTTTGTTCTCTGGGATCACGGATTGGGATAAAGTAAATACTCGTTGGCTATGGAAGGAGATTAGGGGGAGAAAAGAGAAGGTTTTATGGCAAAAGCTTGTCTGGTATCCTATGCACATTCCAAAGCATTCTCTTATTGCTTGGATGGCTATACTTGATAGGTTGCCAACTGCTGATAGACTGATTCGAATGAGAATTGAGGTAGATGATAAATGCAGATTGTGTGGAGATGTGGCTGAGACTCGCAACCATATTTTCTTTGAATGCTCTTTCTCGAAGGCGGTTTGGGAGGAGGTCACTCGGTTATGCAACGTTGGTAGGAATGTGGGAAGTTGGGATGAGGAGTTGGATTGGGCGATTTCTCGGCTCAAAGGTAAATCTTTTCTTGTATTTATACTTAGGGTAGCTTGGTGTGCATATGTATACTATATATGGGAGGAAATAAATCATAGGCAATTTAGGGGCATTCGTAGAGATATTGAGTGTATGGTGAATTATATTAAAGGAGTTGCTAGGGTGAATGCACTTAGGATGGCCTTTAAGAATAGTGATGTTAACAAGAACCTTTGTTTAGCTTGGGGGATTAATATCTCTTAGGGAGGCTGTTTTTTGTTCTTCTTTGGTTGTATTAGTTGTAGCAGTGAGTTTTCTACTGCTTCTTGGATAATAATATGAGAAATTTATCCAAAAAAGATTGCAGGCTAAGTATATACCGCTTCTATTGCGTACTGGATACAATATGATTTTCCTTGTTCCAACATCAAGTCTTCCATTTCTTTAAAAACATTTAAGAGTATGGTATAGCACAATTTCATGTAGTCCGGAAGTTGATCTTTGCAGTTGATATCCCACCTACAATATGTCACCGGGTGATTGCTTTTGTAAATATTTCAAGTTCTTCATTTGTGCCATATGCATCATAAATATCGTCCAAAAGTGATGTGAGGCATAGTACTTTGGTCATAAAAGTTCTAGCAATAGAGTAGTGGGGTTCAAAGTACACTCCCACTATCCACAAATAACATTCCGCCATTCTGTCTCGTGCAAAGGGAAAATTGGTCGCAAAATCTAAACTTTTCCACCACCTGCAATAAGAAAAAAAAGAAAGGAAATTATGTTGATAAAGTTCTTATTTGACTCAACCCCCAAAAAAAACAACATTATAGATTACCTCCTTATCTCCTTTATCTCCTCCTTGTGCAAATGTTGTACTGTTTTGAAATCTAGCTTTGCAAATTTCAGTAAGTTTTGGTCTATGGTACCATATCCTTCATATATGGGAATGTAGGTCGTAGCAACCACCCTCGGTAAGCTCTTGAGAAGGGGTCGGTTTAGAGCATCAGCAATCTGTGTGGAGAGAGGGTAGTCTGCCTTTGGTTCTGCCAACTTTAGATGGAATTTAGTGAAAGAAAGAGCTTCTTCTAATATATTCTCCCCATGCACTTGAAAATTTGCAGCTTCGTACAATTCGAGTATGCCTTTTACATCACCAATTAAGGATTCTTTGAACTTTCCGTTCTCATCTTTGAACTTGTTGAATGTATCTACTCAATTAGCAAACAAATTTACAGACGTGAATCTACTCAATATATTTCTTGTTTGTTATAGATGTTTACATTTTTATTTTATCACAGTAGGTGTCTTGCGTTTATTTTATTACTATTTAAGGTGCCTAAAATTTTATTTTGTTACTATTTTAAGATCATCTTCATCAACAATGTTAAAAAAATTGTCAACCAATGGTTAGTTAACACATGACATTAGTTTATGATTAATATTAATTTTATAAAAATAAAAAACACTAAATTTATAAGTTTAAAAAAACTAAATTTTATAATTTCTCAAAAAAGAAACGTAAATCCTTAAATCCCTTTAATGATCAGAGATCAGATGATGAGTGGAGGTTCGGGCGGTTCAAGTCTCACTGACGATGACGAACATACATATAACCCTCTAAACCCGGCATGGACGTTATGCATATGTCTAGGTACTTACGTATCACATTAAAAAATTCTTTTTATTTTTAAAACAACGTTGAAATCCACATTTAATTAATATATACAATTTATCCATAATAAAGATTTATACAATAAACATATATGAATACATATTTTTGAAAACCATACAAAATATTTACGGAACAAAATATCAGTAATACGGTTATATCCAAAACCAATAGCAAAATACATGTCACCAAATATAATTGAAAAACATATAGAGAAATACGTTCGTACAAAGTAAAAGTAGTTGATCTCTCCTGATGCCAAATCTGTTAGATTACGGTCTGCTGTTATCTGAAAAGGTTAAAATTTACAAAATGAGCTAAAAAGCCCAGTGTGTTCTATACATTGTATATAAAAAACATACTGATAAAAATATTTCAGCAAAATCGGTTTATGCAAACATGTCTTTAAAAATATGAACACTACCCCCATCCGGTCACAATAGAATGTGTAGGTTCCTCAGAACCATACAACCCTGGCACAACAGTAAGGCCCTAAGCACAAAGCCGAAGAGCCTGCATATATACTTCCTCCAACAATACCCCCAATGACAATAATGAACATGAATGCATTCGAGTGAAAACAATGATTAATCCTTTAAAACATGAAAATGTTTCATGCTTAGAAATCATATACAGAAATACGAAAAAAAAATCAAATCAATAACGTATGGTAAATCATATATCAGATAAGCCATATTCAGAAATTAGGTATAAAAATATACTGTAACCAGAGATCATATCAAAAGTGTGCCATAAATCAAATATCAAATAAATAATATTCAGATATATATTTTAAAACAGTAAGGCAACACCTTCAGGAAACACACCTGTAACAGTCTGAGTAATCAGATAGGGAAGCTACTACTGAGTCTGTCGATCACGCTCTGCTACAACGCTAGATCCTACGAATCGGAAAAATTCATATTGGAATCCTAATATGAATAATCTTAACCTTTATTTAAATAATTTACGGAAACCTACGGGTAATTCTTGTAGTACGCGGTTCGGGCGGATTTGACGAACGAGCAATACCGGACCTAACTGATTCTCGCTTAGGTGAAACATGAATACATTCATAAAATATCTTATTGGATTAATTCCATAACTATATCTCAAATAAATAATCTAAAATGCTAAAAATACTAAGCATTTTTGGTTTAACGAGCTTGATTTTGGGATTTCGGGTTAGAATTTGGAAAAACGGACTTACAAAGCTCCTCTGGTGCCGAAAAAATTGCAGAAAAATTTCCTAAAATTATTTTAAGAGATTTTGAGGAACTTACAAAGCTCGATTCACAATTTTGAACAGCAGAGAGGTCGATTTCAACACGTCGAAAACTTTGACCGCTTCACCTCCCTCACGCGCCGACGACGACAGAGACGCGACGGACACCAGTGGACTCAAAACGACACAAGGAATACGATGGTGCGGGAGGTGTCGAAAACGGAGCAACGATCGGAGATTAATTAAATATTTTCTCGAAGGTGGTGTTAAAAAAATGTCGAGACTTTGAATCAAAATTCACGATGTTTGACAGTGTTTCACTTTAATTGTTTTACGGGGTTTGTTCATCGGTTGATGACGAACACGATGGTGGTTTCAAATCTACAATCGGTGGTCGGACGACGTCGGGATCGGGTTTGGAAGATAGGCGTTGGAGGAGGTAATTGCACGCATATATAACCAAAATTCTGTCGACACTCCAAGGTTAAATTAGGATTTGGTCCCTGAATTTCCTTCACTTCTAAAATGGCCTATAAGTTTTGAAAACTTTTAATTTAATCCTCAAATTTCACCAATTTACACAATTATAAAAAAATCCCACTTTTCCGGATTGTTACAATACAATAATTGGATGAAAAATAAATGATCTCATGTGATGGGATAAACAACTATTCTATTTAGGGAGACGCGTGTGACTATAAGGGAACGATCGACTAGTAGAAGTATGACAACAGAAGGGATGACCCCTCGTGGCTGATGCTCGAGTGACATATGTAATTTAAGAGAGATAAGGATTTTAAGTAATTTAGGGATTATAGAGGTTTAGAAAAATAATGATTTTAATTTTAAAAAATAAAATTAAAAGAAATTAAAAAACATAATACATGTCAATTGCTGATTGGATAATATATATTTTTTAACTCTCAAACATCTTAAATGGTAAATGATTAAAAGCTAGGTACCTACTTTTTCAAAGAAGAGCACCTTGAGCGACTGCACAGATTTTTCTATTTTTATATTTAAAATTGGGACCTCTAATTTTTTTCAATTCCATAAATTTTTTAGTTTAAACCGTCTTCTTTCATCTCTCTTATTACTTCATTTAATTTTGAATTAAATTTTATCATATTCTTCTTCAATCTTAATCTAACAATAAAACAATACACCATTGTTTATTTTTTTTATTATTTAAAACCCTAAACCCTAAACCTCAAAATATAGCACTATCAAAATATTAACCATGCCAGAAGTAAATTAAGACATACCGCAATGAACATTGAAACCGTACTCTCTTAGCAGACGAAACCGAACAGCGGTGGTGTAGATATCGTCGTCGACCTGAGCATGATTTATAATTTGTAAGGCTTCTTCTATCTCTTTCTCGAAATGGTAGGCCACACCTAAGCGCTGGACTGCATCAATTACGTGCACATTTTGGGGCGGCTTATCCATATTAATCACCACCATTCTCCTCATTTCTTCCTTCAATTCTTCGTACTCAAGTTGAGTCCCAGCATCCATATCCTGTTCAAGTTTTAAAATGCTTTCGAATCATTCTAAAAATCACATATTCATTATCTAATTATTATTTTTTTCAAAATCATACCTAACATTTAGTTTTGGTTTCATTTTGATCATCTATAGTTAAAAAATTAACGGCGATGTTGCAGGTAATGCCATGTCATCATTGAAAAAAAATAAAAGAATGTCACATCAGTAGTTCTGTTAATTTTTTAATGGTAGGTGATCAAAATAAAACCAAAATGTAACGTTATGATTAAAAAAAAGAGTTAAGTGACAAAAACAAAACAAAAATGATAGGTGGGTGTTCTAAATATGTAGTTTACCATAAAAATTAATGCGGTGTTACAAATATCAGAATATTAGTTAAATTTTATTATTGTTTAATATGATTTTATATCTAAATTGATTTTTTTATTATCTATCATTAATGGATGTTAGATTCAAAGAATAAATTTGATGACCTAAACTTTTTTTTAAAATAAAATATATTATTTAAGTTTAATTAAATATTTAAAATTATTAAAATTTTCTTCATCTGCTATTTGCCATGTATCATCTTATCTGTTGTGTGTAATAGCACTTACACACCACCACTACACTAAAAAACACTTTATATAAAAAAAATATTTATCAAATAAAAAATAAATAATCTTATTTTTCAATAATGGATTGGCGAATTTGTCCCTTACAAATGGCATTAATTTAATTTCAGCTTTTTCTTTTTTCGTTTTTTCTTCTAAATAAACTACTATTAATAAGAACGAAAACATCAAAGAATGGTCATAAAGGAGGATAAAACTTGTCTCAATCCAACATGTTTATCTTGTATACCCAATTCTAATATTATTTTTTTCTCGGCAATAAAATTTTATTAAAAAAAGGATTAATCTCGATTATATGTCTCATTAATTATTAATTCGGTAGGTAGGCAAATAGAGTTATATCTCATATTCGTTAGATATTAATTTTGATAAAAATTTTCATAATATTTCACGTATTTCATCATTTTAATTAGTGGTTAGAGTTATAGTCTAGCTAATGTATGCATGTCGTTGATTTGTGTTTGGGTTAATACACATCCTTGATCTATATATTGTGTATTTATCTTTTTAGAGATCGTCTTTTAAAATTTTGAGAGTACTATATTAATTACGGATAACGATAATTTGTTTACGATTACATTAATTAAGATGAATTCGTTTCTAAAATAGTGAACTATCACGACACATCAATAATTTCTTCTTCATTTAATTATTTTATACTTATTAATACTAATCTGTTTCTTTTACGGTATTTATTTGTTACATATCTTACACCTAGTATTGAAATATGAGATCAACCAACAATTATTTAGTCTAATAGGATGAGACACTAGATCTCTTAAATAAAAGTTAGGGGTTCGAATCCTGACATTTGTGAATGGAACAAAATGGGTTGGGAGAGTTGCCATTGTCTCTGCAGTACCCAATCCGGATTAGTTGATTAATAAATAATGTAGGTACCAAATTGAAATCTAAACTAAGTGTAGGTATGATTTTTAAAAAAATAAAAGTTTAGGTACTAAAATAAATTAAAATTGATAGTTTAAGTACTAAATACGCATTTTACCCTTATTTTTTTAAAAATAAACAATACTATTTAATTCTTCCATCCATAAAACTTCACGTATCCAAATAAAAAAAAGGATAAAACTACACGTTTAATACTTAAATTATTACTTTTGTTCCATTTCAATACTTAAATTTTATTTTATTTTCAAAACCATACCTACATTTACTTTAGGTTTCAATTTAGTACCTATTGTTAAAAACTTAACAGCACAAATGACGTAGAATTTATATCACAAGATGCATGAAATATAGTAAAAAGGTAAAATAATTCCATGTCATCGCTCCCGCTAAGTTTTTAATGATAGGTTACCAAATTAAAACTTAAAGTAAACGTTGTGCATAGTTTTGAAAAATAATAAAGTTTAAATACTAAAACGGATTAAAAGCTATAGTTTGATTGTTAAACGTGTAATTTTCCCAACAAAAGCCTTGCAAAGTTCCCTGAAGATAGGCAAGACAACTTGCTCCAAAAATTAATAAAAATATGTACTCAAAAGTTAATATTAGAGTAATACTTTTTGATAGTTTGACGTGATCACAAGTTAATATTTGTTCACAAGTCTTTTTAATTTATTAATAATATAAACATCGCTGCTTGAATTTAGAATTTTTAGGGAGTCAGATAGACTTTTTTAAAGAAAAAAAGAATTAATCACTGATATTTGATCTATTAATCGATTTATTCGTCCTTGAATTAATTACTGATATTCGATCTATTGATCGACTTATTCAGATCCGATTTTACAGAGACTCATGGGAACAATCCTTCCAACCCAGTTTGCTCATTCGAGCTATATCTCCACATGTTAGCACAAATTTATTGGACCAATAGCAATCATGCTCTGTACATTGGATAAAAATTTATTCACTCAACATACGAGTTGAGTCTATTCTATTCAAACTTGATCATTTCTTTTAAAAGCATAAAGCTTCGTTAAGACAACAGAGACAATACATAATAAACACCAAACAAACTAGAGGGAAATTGAAGCATTATATGCTTCCCAGCACAACATATTTATTTATTTAACAAAGGACATCTCAAAGCATTGTTGGGGTCAAACTGAGATGGGTTCAATCAACAAGGAAGTGATGCCATCTTTCACTGAATCACAAACAAACGTATAACCATCGTCGTTCTGTAAAACAGATCAAGACCCTTGAAAGGTTGAGAATTCGATCAAGAGCCGACGTCGGCACCTCCGTTGGTTTCAAGAACCCTTCGGTCATATCCATCCAAGCACTCTTTAATTGCTTGTTTAACTCGTCGTATGCAGCTTGCACCGGTGCACCGTATTGTTTCATGTAGCACTCGACCGCGGAAGGAGGATGTTCTCTCTCTCGCTCGAACTACAAAAGAAAAAAACATTGTAATAAAAACAAAGGATGGTTTTATTTAAGGGCTGTAAGCATTGCAGAAAATAAATGATGTACCTGGTGCGTAACAACATCATCCATCAGCCTAGAAATAATTGTTGAAGCTCGAAGAATCTTGGGGTCATTAAATTCCCAAATGAAAGTCTCTTTTGTAATGCTATCTTCCATGCCAACGAATGCTACAACTGTGAACAGCTGAAAAGTAGAAGTAACTAATGCAACAGACATATACTCCTCAAACGTGGGGATGTAATTTTCATGGAGCCATTTGAACTCAGCATAGTAGGCTTCACATTGTATTTTCATCTATCAACAAACAGGAAAACAAAAATTTAACAAAAACCAACTATTATTACTGAATAAGATTTCAGACTAAAGTATATACCGCTTCTATTGCGTACTGGATACGATATGATTTTCCTTGTTCCGACATCAAATCTTCCATTTCTTTATAAACATTTAAGAGTATGGTATAGCATTTTTTCATGTACTCCGGAAGTTGATCTATGCAGTTGATATCCCACCTGCAATATGTCAAAGAGTTCAAGTGGTTAATTCTGCATAATTCAATAAAAAAAATTGCTTCTGAAGGTGGATGTATGCTTTAAATCACCTGTTGATTGCGTTTGTAAAGAGTTCAAGTTCTTCATTTGTGCCATAGGCATCATAAATATCATCAATAAGTGATGTGAGGCATATTACTTTGGTCAGAAAAGTTCTAGCAATAGAGTAATGGGGTTCAAAGTACACTCCATTTGCCCACAAATAACATTCCACCATCCTGTCTCGTGCAAAGGGGAAATTGGTAACAAAATCTAAACTTTTCCACCACCTGAAATACGATAAAAAAAGAAAGGAAATCATGTTGATAAACATATGTTATTAGTAGACTTGTTTATATGTTATTACCTGCTTATCTCTTTTATCTCCTTCTTGTGCAAATGTTGCAGTATTTTGAAGTCTAACTTTGCAAATTTCAATAAGTTTTGGTCATGGCTGCCATATGCTTCATATATGGGGATATAGCTCCTAGCAACCAGCCTCGGCAAGCTCTTGCGAAGGGATCGGTTTAGAGCACCGGCGATCTCTGCCGAGAGAGGATAGTCGACCTTTGGTTCTGCCAACTTTAGCTGCAATTTAGTGAATGAAAGAGCTTCTTCTAGTATATCCTCTCCATGCACTTGAAAATTTGCAGCTTCGTACAATTTGAGCATGCCTTTCACATCACTGATTAAGGATTCTTTGAACTTCCCGTTCTCATCTTTGAACTTGTTGAATGTATCTACTCAATCAGCAAACAAGTTTAAAGAAGTGGGTTATATACATGTATAATAGAAATCTTTGTAGAAAATTAAGGCATACCGCAATGGACATCGAAGCCGTGCTCTCTTAGCAGAAGGAATCGAACAGCAGTAGTGCAGAGATCATCCTCGACCTGAACATGACTACAATGATGATCATATATGATTTGTAAGGCTTCTTCTAACTCTTTCTCGAAATGGTAAGCCACACCTAAGCGCTGGACTGCATCAATTACGTGCACCTTTTGTGATGGCTTATCAATATTAGTCACCAGCATTCTCCTCACTTTTTCCTTCAATTCTTCGTACTCAAGTTGAGTTCTAGCATCCATATCCTGTTCAAGTTCGATAAGCTCTCGATTCATTCTAACGAACTGCTTCGAAACAACATAAACATGAGTTTTTCGAACGTACGTACCATTTCGACAGGAGAAGAGAGGAAAATGTCCCCCCACAGGCCGGGATCGAAGTCGGCAAGACGCCGGTTTTCCTTGGACATGTTATCTTGATTTAGAACAAGATTTGCAGAAACTTGAGCAGACATTTTCTTTAGTGTGCTGAAACTTAAAAGCTCTGTGTGTGTTTTGAATGACCCAAACGCTTAGGTTGCAAGTATTTATAGGCACCTCCATCCGTTTTAGTGTGATTTTATATTTAAATTGATTTTTTATTGTCCATCGTCAATTATGTTAGATTCAAAGAATGGATT